TATCTCTTTGCCCCCTAAAGGACATGGACAACAATTGAAGCGATCCGTCTGCTTATCAGACTCCCATCGTGGTGCGACCTACCCAGCCCTTTTAAGTGGCATGTATAATCGTCGGAGCTATTCTCGCACAAGAATTCATACTTGGCTGAATGGATCGATGAATTATTCCCGTCAATACTGTCTTTCCAGAAACTGGGCCCAGATGAGGAAGAGTCTCCGGACATGTTTGTCCGCTCTTGCCTTCTTATAAAGGATTTTGGGGGAGTCGCTACAGACAATATGCGCCTTTTATATCTGCTTAAGAGCTCTAGTATGGTCCACGCCACACGATCATCAACCGACCATACTTCTCACCTCTATATAAAGGCTACTCTCAGCATCGCACCACCGTTACTTTATACCCTTTGACTTGAACTGTTTTCCGGTTCGTCGAATATCCCGCATATTCGTTCGGCACCATGACTCTCGCTGAGGAGCTCCGCTCGAGTATTTCGCGGGCTGTCATTGTCTATTCAGCATCATGCCGACGCTGCTCATTATTATGTGCTGCTGGTGTTCAATAAGGACGATAACGTTATATTGAAAGCTATGGGTTATAATGGCTATTAATGAGCTGGAAGGAATTTTGGAATAAACTTGCATGTATTATTCAGCTCATAAATTGAGTTGACCTTTTTGTATCAAGAACAAGAAACATAAAAGCGGAGCTATGATTAAAGTTATGGACGTCTTTCTCCTACTTAGACTTTCATCTTTACTGATATAGTACGATATTACTAATAGTACCTAGCAGTATGTTTCGTAAATCTTGGTAAATAAAAGAAGAATACATAGAAAGCTAGTTTATCAACTTGGTGCTAAACGAATACACTAAGACCCTCTCAAGAATAGCAAAGAGACGAGTGAACACCAACTAACATATTCATGGAAATATTGTTTGTTCCAAGACTCAAGTACAGAATAATCTCTTAACATTTTTATTCAGTCATACTGTCGCGTTAATGACAAAATTAGAATTGCATACCAAAGACGATAACGTCAACACCTTCCTCCTTCTTTCCCAACGTGGTCAACGCGCTCTTTCTCTTTTGATCTTATCTTTCTACATATGATCCTGTCAGTATGCCTCTCCCCAAGCTGGGAACTTTTGGATATGGCATTCGGTCTATCCAGAATCGTCAGCTTGAGTGGAGTGGGAAGTATTGCAGATCTTTCTGGCGATGATCGTGATGGCTACAATTTCACTGTATTGCCCCGCTGAGGGAGTAATGGCTTGCTTCACAAAAGGACGCTACCCACTTTTTATCTAATGAGATATACTAGGCATCAATTATATAGAGTTAGTTAGAGTGTAAACAACGTGGTCATCTAGCCTCACATGCGTTGAATAAGAATAGATCCACATTGGCAGAGTGGGCACATCGCCTCAGCTGATTCGAGGAGACTCGGACGGATCCCCACAACCTCGCGAAATGGCCCAAATAGGAAACTTTCATGATGTGGATGAGCTACATTAGCCTTAAAGGGGATTATGGTCAATCTAGGCATTTCCCTTAAGGGCAATCTATCTTCCTCTTTAGGCCAGATTGCGAACCTGTTGATCTATACGACGTGGACCGGCTACTCTTTCTTATAAATCGCAAGGAAGGTGACTCACGCTCATTATGAAACCCGCAGATCTATATGTTGGAAGTTATTTAAACTCCTATTCTTCCAGCTGGAAAGTGTTTATCACTTGATACTAACAAGTGTTGAAACCGGCCCTATCCCAACAGCTTTCAACACCGATCGTACATTCTTTTTTTCCAGAGCCTCTTATCTTTTTAAATCATGGCCTTCAACCGTATCGCCGTCTATGGTCACCGTGGATTCGTTGGATCTCGAGTGGTCCCTGCTCTAATTGCTTCTGGAGCTCCAATTACAGTTTTGCATCGCCCTAGCTCGGATACTTCCAATCTCCCAGAACATGTGAGAAAGATTGAAGTCGACGTTCTTGATGAAGACGCTTTAGTTGATGCCTTGCAAAATATAGACATTGTGATGTTAGTCAGAGCTCCTGCGCATGTACAACCTTTTGGGATCTATGCTAATAAAGTTGTCTCAAAGTTCTCTTGTTGGAGACGAGGGAACCGACAGACAATATGGCTTTGTGAAAGCCATTCCTAAGACCAATGTCCAGCTTTTCTCCCCTTCGGATTTCTGTCTGCGGTATTGTGAGCAGGGAATGCGCATGCCCTGTATGAAGGCAAAAGCGAAAGTCGAAAAGGCTTCCAAGGATGCTGGGATTCCGACCACCGTCGTCCACGTAGGAAATTTCGCTGAATTCACCTTGAGTACAACGTCAGTCGTCAATGAGCCACCCGGGATGTTTATGTTATAACTGACTTTCTGCAAACATTATAGGGCAGTGGGTGTTGATTTCCAGAATAACGTGTTGGTCTACACCGGCAACTCTGCTAGCGAGAGAGTCACTATGTGGTGCGTTAACATCTTCACTCAGACACTCCCTTCATCTGAACCAACATCCCTTAGGTCTGGTTATGAACTAATTCATTATAGCACCAAGGACTACGTAGCAGCTGCATACGTGGACATATTCACCACCAGACCTATCCACACTATCCAGAACCGGACTATCACCTTATCAGAGCTTGCACCAACAGGCATGGAAATTGCTGCGATCATGAAAGAGAAGAACGGCAGGGACCCCTCTATTGCGACACGAAGCTTAGAGGAAATCAACCAAAGGATTGAGGATTCTCTCAGCAAGGAGAGTAATCTCGCTGTCCCGGCCTATTGCCGCAAAATGTGGGGAACAGGAGAAATGATGAAGATGCTTCCCGATGATTTATGGGAAGTTGAGGGCTACAAAAAGGCAAGTTTAGAGGACCTTGTCATAGGAGGAAGATTGGAAAGCTATAGAACTCTACCTGATCATGTATTGGAGTATCTTAGAGAGATTCTCTGAGATATGACGCCTATGCTGAAATAATACCTTGATAGTACATCATATTGATCCCTAATCTACCTCGTGATCCACCATAACAGAATTTCAATCTTCCGCCCTTGACCGTTAATGAAAAGCCGCCCTGTAATTAAAAATATGCCAAATAGTCAGTCATCTGTCCTTATTTCCTACATCTTATTCTTCCGCTTCCTCAGTGGCAAACATCCCAGATCGAAGGTGGCCCACGTGCGGTGAAATCTCGCTTCCATCTGTGTTCTCTCGAAGTGTTCCTAATATCGACGCCTCATGCATTATCGCGTACGCCCATGCATCATAGAGTTGTCCCTGTATTGCTGCTATTGTATATCCTATCGGATGTAGTGCAGAAAAAACGGTCCTCATTCCACGTACACTGGTAGAGGTAAGCCTCAGACACTTGAGGTTCTTTATGTGATCGTACGATAAGTGCTGCCTCTTGTCGTGAAACGAGCTTGAAAGGTCCAGTTTGCGTGATAGGATGATCCTTGTGGTAGAGCCATTATGAAATATAAGTATGACTAGTTTCTCTTTCTTGAATAAAATGGCTTTATGTTTAGCATCGTACTCTTTCTTCATAAGCACTGCTGTGACTTGTAAGGTGTCGTATGCTGTCGTGTGACTCGGTATTTCTTGACCAATACCGTTAATCAGTACTCAAGACGTACTATCCCGTAATGGCAAAAGAAGCTATACAGAGCAAAGAAAGGGTTGGCTCGAACAATTAGATTCAGGTTGTAAACAACTAAGAACATGCAGGAAAGAAAGATGGAATGGCGAGGTAGAGGGGGGTTAGATACCGTGGGGAGCTGCATACCATACATTATCTTATTTAGTGAGGCGACTGTTGAGGTATTCTTACTGCCACTTAGTGTGGATTAGGCGTAGGGCAGTAGGGAATACCATATTGAATGACCTTGCGGTGACGTTATTTGGTATCGTACATAAATCTTAGCTCTTTGGACAATTGTTTCGTCTTAACCATCAGTCCAGCTGTATTAGACTGTGGAATAATATAGCTCAGTTGCAAGCTTATCCCAGATACTGCGCCAGAGAAAAGTTTAACCATTTAGAATCATAATTACTGATAATTACTCTTAGTATTCCCCTATCCCCAATCACCAGACAGGTGATAGTCTAGGAGGGCCTGAGACACACTGAGCTGCGATCCAAGTATCTCAGCCTGCAACCAAAGTGGTCTATTCAGTAAATAGATCAGTGACGGAGCACACAGCAGTGAATTTGCCATCTGGTAGTGCCAGGATGATGTCAATGGTGATTATATGGAAAGGTCTGGTAGTAGGTATGATACGTTGTAGGGCTTCTGGGTAATGCGTGGGATATTCTCGATATTTGGTCACGCAGGATCGGCACTATGGCTCTAATCCTCGCTGCTACTCTGAGTTGAGTTCAGTCCTCCTGTGTTCGGTTCAATATTGTGTTTATAATTGGCTTGTTTCTGGAGACTCAGTGTCATAATGTTTTTGATATCGATATTATATATCTTTATTCCACGACTTCTTGATCTTTTCTGTTCAAAGTCAATGTATGCGCGCGTAGAGACTTCTGCGGATATGGTGGCCTCTCTAATGTGGTATCAGTGATGATTGAAGATGGTAAGTTGCTTAGTTTGTTGGTGGAGTTGTCATAATTTTATATTTGGATTCGAGGATGGACTATTCAATTTTGATGTGTCAATTCAATCCTATAGTTAATTCAACCCGTCCTTTTGAGTTAAAGTTATATTCACGGTCTTTGCACTTATCGGGCCTGCTATACAAAATGCTATGATATTCATGCAGTGCTTCACTGTCTGAAGTAGGAAGTCGCCTTGAATATTGTCAATTCCCTCACACTCGCAGAAACAAAGGTAAGAGTGTTGTAAATGGAGTAAAATTCATTGCTGCAGCTTAGCTGGACAAGGCTGAGGCTACGAGTGGTCTACAGAGCACCATAAGAACATGAATGATACGTTAATGTGAAATATTGGAACATGTTAGAATTTATGTATTGATTTCTATCCTCCCATTCGGGTTACAGCCAAGGAAAACTCCCCGTATGGTAAAAACCTTGACCAGGACGATACAGAGTAGTCAATCTGAATATATAATCCCCAACCACCATCAGTCTCCCTATTAGATGGTTAGTACCAGTATATAGGGAAATCTGTTCTGGTTCACTAACCTATCGGCTAACTCTCCTCGCTTCCCTGCGGGGCGGCATTCTTTGTATTTTGGCCAGCCTGCAGAGCCATCAGTACTAGTTTCAAATAAGCGGCAGGACTACTTACAAGCTCTGTCACTTACTGGGCCTGCCACTGTGCAGGTACTCGCTCTTGGTTATATCCCCTCCTGTGTATGCTAGGTGCCCCAGTGGAAATCAACCGGGATATCCCAGCGCTCGATGACTGCCTTATTTTAGCCATATAAGAGAGATGTTGACAGGTATAAATGGCAGGCAGTTTAGTGCTGGGCTATTATAACAGTCAGCATATATCCCTCCCTCAATATGACATAAGGGTACTGACATATCCACGGTAGAGGCTAGCCTGACGTGCGGACGATCTTTATCCAGCCTAAAATGGTCAGATCTGACCTCAGCCTGCTGACGAGGTATGACATACAAGTTCTGTCACTTACTGGGCATGACCGCAGCGCCAGGCATCGAAACAGGAGGACAGATAAAAGAGGAGGAAGGGCCGATGGCGGCCAGGAATGGGAAGGAGAGAAAGGATGGGTGGAAGGCACTGATTACGTTAGAGAGGCATGATATGATGAGCAAGAGGACTAACCAGAGCATTTCCCTTTTGGAGCTAGCCTGCGTGGTGGGTTGCATGTTTTTAGCCAGCCTGGTGACTGTCAGTATAAGAAGCAGCAAAGCATCTGACTTTGACTCACAAGCTCTGTCACTTACTGGGCCTGCCCACGGGGCGGCTTATGCTCAGAAAGGAGGTGTTACGCAACTATCCCTGCTTTATTGCTCAGTTAGTAGCCAACAGCCTTGCCGTCACACAAGCACCACCAGAGAAGCTCTGATGAAACCCATGCTAGACAAGGTCAAATCCCTCGGTATGCCCACCAAAAGAGCCTAGACGGCGGTCAGCCCAACCAGACCTGAATGAGCACTTACCCAAGCAGCATGTTCATAAAATCGCTCGAAGCAGAAACACGGAAGGAACGACGACGAGGAATACCTGTGAAGAGATGGCAGTTAAGCAGATTAGCAAGGGCAAGGAAGGCTGAAAGTGGAAGAAGAGAGTAAGAAATGAAAGGGAAGAAGGAAGAGAGAAGGATAGGAGAGAGAAGAGAAAGAAAGAAGGGGGAGGGGAAGGCCATCATTATCGCCAGAGAGACTAGGCCGAAGACGGGCATACAGACACCGGCAGGGAAGGAGCAGATGCAGAACTGCGACTTCCTCTTCGGGAAGGTTCGAGCTGCATGGAGAGGCGGGCAAACTGCATTCAAGTCGGGATGACACTCCAAGGACGAGCAAGTGCGGTCAAGGTTGGACAATCCATCTGGTATCGGTCTCTCGCAAAGTCGGCTGCCTGTCGAACAGCATCGTTAAACGAACGATCGATCTGGTGTCAGCTTTAGAAGAATCGGAAAGACGAGCGTCAAGTCGAAGCATCGGGTATCGCAATCCATGTCGACGGCGTAGTCACGGGCGTACGGGCATCGACGGTTCTGGCAACGTAATGGCAAATTCTCCGATTCGTAGGCGAGCTATGTTCCTAATGAGGTGGGCGGGAAGGCGACGGTGTGGATAGCTGGAGTTATATCATGTCAAGAGAGTACAAAGTCGGGGAAGAAATCAGGACGGAGCCGAGCATCTTATATTCATGCTATTTCTATGTACAGGAACGACGATCCATTCTCGTCTCAGAAACTTAAACTTGCTGCATGAAGCACGTCGGTTAGGCCGCAGCCAGCAAACCCTACTTCGAACTGCCAATCCCATTCCATCTTCGAGTGGCTCCCAGCGGTGAGGTGGAAGCCCACATACCAAACAAATAAAGGGTATCACGGAAATATGAACAACAAAGTGCCTCACGAGAACACCCACTCGCCAGTCCGAAGCATCAAATTGCCTTGCCAGGAGATGGGAATCCAACAGGCCAAGATCCGGGCTGCGGTGTGCGGCGAACAGCTGTCGGCTGGGCGCCAATCTCAGCCACGTGGCACATGACCCAAGTGAGCGATGCAACTTGGCGATAAAGAAGGTAAAAGTCGGAGGTCGAAGACGAAATGCAGCTTTTATTAGAAATGACGTGGTCTGCGCTTTTCCCCTCAGTGGAGATGAAACCATTGCCCTTCCCTTGCGCCTGCGTGATACACCGCTGTCGCCAGGGGCAGTACCCGGCGCTCACATTGGGCAATCAGATGCAAACTGGCCATACTCTGAAACCACGCTGTGACAGGGCCCTTGAAGCTCCACTGGACAGACCACCGACCAGAAAAGGTCGGTAATACCTGAAACAGCCGACCGCGGAGTTGATGTGAGGCTGATGTTGGGTCTTCAACAATCAAGCAACCTTACGGCCAACGTTGCCAATGCCGCGGCCAACCACACTGATGATCACATCCCCATTCTCATTCTCACCACTCGCGTCTCTCAGACCCCAACCCGGAGCACCGAACTTGGTCAGGTCCCTGGCCAGCTGGATGGTGCTCTCCTCGGCGATCACGTCCCGACCAACTTGGATTCGTCCAACATCCTCCGATCCCATCGTCATCAGACCCAGCATGGTCGGAACAGCTGCAGGGGCAACGCAACCTCCCTTCGAAACGGCCTCGAGTAGCTGGTAAGCACATCGCTTCCCAATGTCTTCAGGCGCCTCGCCGCCTGCGGGAGGCGACGCCACATCGGCGGAGAACAGGCAGCCAGTAGACGACTCAGCGACCAACGAGAGTCCGAAACCAAGACCAATCTTCTTTTTCGCGGAGGGGTTGCTCTTCTCGGGGGCAGGCACGAGCGGCGCCGACGACACATCAGAGAAGATATAGGTGTCAGGGACGAGTGGGTTTAGAACACCACGGGCGGTTTCGATCATTCTTGCGTTATTGGATGCGGAAACACCGACGGAGTAGGCCACACCGCGGACCTTCTTGATGCGACCGGCGTTCATGAGGTGCAGGGTCTTCGGCAGCCGGAGCTGGTGGCCAAATACTAGCTGAACTTCTCCACCACCGCCTCTGCCATTGGGTCCAGGGTTCGATCGCCGTAGGATGCGCAGCTCGATGTTGTTGAAAATTCCAAATTGGTTGTAGAGAGGGAGAATGGCAGTCCGCACACTGTCCACGGACATGTCACCAGTCGGGGTGGATGAGGTGATCACACCTGGACCAGTAAAAAGGACCTTGATGGGCGCCTTGGAGAAAGGTGCCAAAAGGCAGAGCGGCAGCAGATAGTAGCTCACACCACGATTGCACCCTGCAGGGAGCTCGTGCCTGACGACACCTCCGCTGCTCGTGGCCACGCCTGGCGAACTGCCTGTAATGAGACCGGGCTTATAAACAAGGATAGTACCGGTGTATGAGATTTCCATTTGGGAGCCATTGGTAATGGACTCCAGGAGACGGAGGAAGGAAATTTCATGAGGAGCGAGACCGGGATTCGTAGGGGACGAAGGACGGATCTGGGAGATTTGAATCGTGCGGCCGGTCAACGTAGCGAAGACGAGACGGTACACAAAGTTCTTGTGGGAAGTGAACCGAAGAGGGGGTTGAGACGTTGACGCCATTGTAGCTGTACTGGAGACTCTGCGAAATCTCCGTGGTCAATCAACAATCTGTAGATCGAAAATCTTCGTCGGCGCCAGATGCTCGCCTGGACCGCAAAAAGCGAATCGAGAAAATCTGCCGGGGCGGAGTTGTTCCGGCGCCGAGCGCGGCGTTAATCCGCGGTTATCTCCGGAACGGATAGGGACCCTTCACCGGATAGATGCGATGGGTTGGTTGGGTTGATTTGATCTGCATTTATAATCAGCTGCTTTCTTCGATACTTTGGTAATTATCCATATTAATCTTCACTCTATCAATCCACAATACTACACACAGAGACAAATCACATCGTCATCATGCTTCCACCAGCACTGAACATCCCCAAATGGTACAGTAATCCACCTCCACATCGCCACTACAAACTACCACTTCCTACTACCCCTCCCCCGCATTACTCTCCTCTACAAACAAACACACGCAACACAACCCACCTACTCCCCAAAACACACATGAAAACAACTCACTAACTAAACTATAACAGGCTCGAAACCAACTCCCACCTCCTCCAACCCCCCGTAAACAACTACTGCGTCTACCACCCCTCCTCACCCGCCACACAAGGCTACACAGTAATGATAGTGGGCGGCCCCAACGCCCGAACAGACTACCACATCAACACGACTCCCGAATTCTTCTACCAATATAAAGGCTCCATGCTCCTCCGCACCGTCGACGAATCCACCACCCCGCCCACCTTCCAAGACATCCCGATCCACGAGGGATCGTTGTTTCTGCTGCCGGCGAACACGCCGCACTGTCCCGTACGGTTCAAGGATACGGTGGGCGTGGTGATGGAGCAGCCGAGGAAGGAAGGGGCGGTGGATGCCATGAGGTGGTATTGTCGTAATAAGGATTGCGGGGAGGTGGTGTGGGAGAAGAAGTTTGTTTGTACGGATTTGGGGACGCAGGTTAAGCAGGTTGTGGAGGAGTTTGCGGGCGATGAGGAGAAGAGGACGTGTAAGGCTTGTGGGGTTGTTGCGAGGTCGAAGTATGAGGAGGGGGAGGTGGTGCAGCCTTAGTTGTAGGACTTCTTAGGAGGGGCTGTTTGTTGGGTGGTGTTTAGTTAAGAGTTGATTGGGTGGTGTTGTGGTGAAGAGATACCCTGTTGAAGCTATATATGGTTGGTTGGTTGGTTGTAATAGTAGTTGTGTAAAAGAATCTATTGTCTGCTTTCTAATTACCAGTAGTATGATGCTAGGTGTTTGCCAAGGCAGTTGTATACGTGGAAAGTGGCTTGTGATTGGAATGTATAATTAAAGAGGTATCAGGCACAGTTCTGGATAGGGGAATATAAAAGATGGAGAAATAGCCACATAGCCAAGAAGCCGCTGTGACCAAAACAGGCAAGTAAAACAGTCTAAAGAATGTGACAGAAATAAGAAAAAGGCTAGTAGAGTAGTGGCACATTAATGAATGCATTGCAGCCGCTTTGAACAATCAGTAACCCTTGCAAAGCGCGCTATGCGGTTTCATACAGCCAAGGTAGAAAAGAAAGACCAGAAAATGCCAACATGATTATGTTGCTTGTGAATGAACAAGAAGAAGGATATCCTGAAAATGTGTTTAGACATAGTGCGCCTTGAACAGAAGAATACCAGAAATGACAGGTCCACTAATCCGACATATAGGACACACATCTCAATCATCGGTGCACGTAGCATCATGACCATCTGGTAATTAAGCTGCCATCAATCTCGTGCATCGGCATTCCGCTTCCATCAATCATCAAATGGACAGTCAATGCTCTCGTGGCCATCTCTCTCGCAAAGAGCACACCACTTAGACTCGTCAACGACGCCACTTTCCTTGCCGCCAACAGGGCCCAAGGTTGAGGAAGAAGCCGACAAGTTCGCTTCTCTTAGTCCCTCCATCACAACATCACGACCCGTTTTCTGAGGAGTCGCGTCCTCTTCATGTGAGGATGTGGATGGTTCACCCGTGGATTCCTCTGGAGTTGGCTTTTCATCCACAGAGCTGTCGTCATGGGGTGCCTCAGCAGCATCAGGGACCTTCTTACTTTCTGCGCCGAACATGTTGGTGCAGGTCAGAATATCGTGCCCTCCGGTCTCACAGATCTCGCACCACAAGGAGCCACCGTCCTCCGAGCGGCCGTCTGACTCGTGCATGGTCTCCAGACGATGATGAGAAGCATCCGAAACACCGCGGTGGCGGGTAGAGTAGGCCTGATATTGTCCCTCGTGCGGAGGTAAATCTTGCCAGTCGTGGGGAACGACTGTGCGATCCGAAAGCCGATGCGCATGGTTGATTACATGGCCGTTCGTAAGCTTCCCATTGACACTGGGGGACTTTTGGTGGTTGGGCGACGAAGAGACCGCGGAGCCGGGAGCGTGTGTTTCACCATTCAGCTGCAACTGCTGGAGCTCGCGTTCTAGTTCTTCAATGCGGTATGTCTTTCTTTCGGCGATGCGTTCAAATTCCTCGACACGTTGTTCCAAGTGAGCCACATGGTCGGGATCATGGTTCGGCGGGCTCGTTCCAAATCCATTCTGTTGCAGGGCATGCAAATCTGGGTCGCCACGGCTCAAGGAGTGGATGATTGCTTTTAGACCACGGATTTCATCATCCTTCTGCTCCAGTTCCTTCGAGTACTGCGGCCCATCACTAGCTGCATGGGAGTCCTTGGAATCCCGCTCCT